TGGGGATGCCCGGGGGGGGCGGGCGAGCGGCTCCCCCTGGGTGGACTCCTCGGCGGGAGAAAGCCAGCCAAGGCACTTTGCACCGCCGGGTAGAGGCTTCGAGCCCCCTCCGTGCCACCCTGCTTTCTCCGATTTGTTTGCCCGCTGGCTATTTCATGCCGAACTAGCACGTATGACCTTTCCAGCACAACTCCCGTCTTGTTTTCGACTTTTTTATCAGCCGATTCAACTTGAAAATGGTTATCATTTAGCAGAAAAACAAACAGAAAAGCACATTTTTGTAAGCAAAACGTTAATGATTGGAAGAATTGCACCAATTTCAGCTTGACAGTGTGTGATTAATCCTCCGGGTCAGGTACTTATATTTTTAGTCATTAAGTTCGTCGGCCTTTGATATGCAGAACTGTTTCTAGCCTAATAGGATATTGACCTGGCCGCCTGTGTACTTTGCCTCCCACGCAGCGCGGCTCCCCGGACACGCATCGGGCAGCCTGGTCGCGCTCGCCGAGAGAGCCTCAAGCGCTTCCACGCTGTGCGGGGACAGGAGGAAAGTGGTTGCATGGTGTTTGCAAGCCTGGACACTTCTATCCTTCACACTGAAATGGCCAGAGCCTCTTTTATTGCACAATAATAGGAAATAATAACTTAGGGCTCTGAATTGTTTGCTTTCACTGAAAAGGACCTTCCTCTGGTCATATCGGATAAATGGAGGGTTTAGTGGGCAACATGATAAATGATACTAGGGCCCGAAGTCACCTGCTATTACCTGTCTTCTCCGAGGACAAAAAAATCAGGCAGACAAAAACTCTTTGCATGACTATTACTGTCTTTCAGCTATGTATACATATATAAAAAAAAAGGTTAGATTGTAAAGACTTTTTTTTAGCGCGTGAGAAAGTTTCAAGATAAGACAGCGCTGAAAACCTGAAATAAGCATCAACAGCAGGTCAGAGCATGCTGGTCTGATTCAGATCAACTTCCCATTAATGTTTAATGGTGGTTCGGGCTTAGCAAGGACAGAAAGATTTTGTTCGGGTCTCTAGGTGACAGCTGCTTACCAAAGAGCCTTTGCCGACTGTGGAGTCTCTGTCTTGCATACACTTTGTTTGCTGCAGGCCTCACAAGCACAGGAGATTCGTTTTCTTCCTATTTATTCAAAACAGGAAATCAATGTATATTTCTAAAATATTTCAGGTGGTGCACACCAAGGCCACAAAAACTTCACACCACTGTGAAAAGGCCTCATCGCGATAACTTAAGTGGCTCCATTTTACAACCCCATTGTTTGAGAGCTGTTGACAAATGACTACTAAAACCAGGGAATCTCAAGCAAGTAAATACGGTGTTATTTCGGTCACTTGGCGTTACATCAGCAAATTATTATTTGGTGGACTCTTTCAACTGAGTTGGTGACTTGTGAATTCTCCCCCTCCCCCTACCCCCCCTCCCGCCCCGAATGTCACATACCCACCCATGTCATAAAGAAATACTCTCTAATGGGACTAATTGAGATGTAGATTTATTTCCTACAGGCCTGATATCCACCCATGTCATGAAGCCTTAATAATAAATAGAATAGTTGTCCTGTGTCCCCACCACCACATAAAAAAGGACCTGACTTTAGATGATCAGAGAGGCTGGGCTCAGGCTTGTTCTTCAGTTGTGGTAGTGACTTTGTCCCTTGCCCCCTGTTTTTTTTTTTTTTTCTTGGTGTGTTTTTTTTTCTTTCCTGCAAGCATTGTTTAAGATGTCAAAGATGCTAGTACAATTCTGGGAAACAGTTACTCTAATTTACTCACTCTGCAGGCAGTTGCTAGAAGCAAAACAGTGTAAGGATACATATTAATGACTAAGAATTTATCTGCTGAGTTTGTAGAAGACGACAGATTAGATCGAGGGTTTTGTCTGAGTACATTTCAGTAAAATGAAATCGAAGTCAAAGTCAAAGCCAATTGCTGTCTGGTGGCCTGCGGGCAATGAGTGGTGGTCACAGTCAGCTGGAAATACTAATGCTAAAGGCAGACTGGACTTTGCGGGTCTTGGTGCAATTTAGGCAAATGAATTGTGTTAAAAGACTGAATGGGCATGGAAAAAAGAGCTACCATCTCATCAGCCTTAGGGAAAAGGTAATTTCCAGGAGACTTAATTCAATCAAGCTTATTTAAGGACTAAAAATCCCATCTGACAAACACATAGACCTCAATACCTTTAACATGATTTTAGCAGCCTGAGTTACAGCCAGCCAGGAGCCCAAACTATGACCTGCTAAAACTGAGTAGAAGATGATCTTAAGCACACTTTTAAGTGGGTTTTGCTTTTGAAAAAAAGAGAGCCTGACTGAACTAAATCTACTGAAAAAAGGATCTTTTTCTCCTGTTGTCTAGACAAGGCCTTCAGGGTTTCCCCAAATGTCAATCTGTGCTATTGCTTTGAAGACCTATGTAGAGAAACTTCTTATTGATTGTTTCCTATGCTATAATTCTCCTTGCCTGTTGCAGTGGGACTTCCCACGAGCGTGGCATGTCATTTTAAAAAGTATTCTGTCATTGTCTAGACAGG